GTGTGTGTGTGTGTGTGTGTGTGTGTGTGTGTGTGTGGCAGGGAGAACTGTGGAAGAAAAGTGAGACTAGGTAATTGGGTTATAGAAATTATAGAAAGTCTTGCCTCTGAGGAATAGCACAAGTTAGTATTTATGAGAGTGACAGGATCATCCTCATATTTTTATAAATGTAACTCTCATGGAAATACAAAGAATCAAGTGAGATGGGCAAAACTAGCAAGTCAGGAAGGCACATTCGAAGGCCAGACCAAAGTTCCAGTGAGAGTATTCTGAAAAGTATGGCAGGAAGTAGTCAAAGAATGTTTAGGATGTTCTCTGTCACATTCCTTTGTAGTTCTTCCTAGAAGGCAACACTGTGCCTTCTCTTTGTGTCCTCAGCATCTCAGTCCACATCTGCCACTGACAAGTCCTCATTATACATTATATCTTGATAACAGGAAGAGGGTGTCAATGGCCCAGAACCAAGAAGGCCTGTGGGTTGGTGGTTTGATCTTGTCATGATACCAATGTATTTGCTTCTTGAATTCACCCACAAGGACCTCTCTGGGGTGAGCCTGAAGGAATATGAAGTCAAGAATCAAAATTCAATATAAAAGGCTTAAGATAAAGATCAAGTCTTAAATGTCCTGAATGCCTAGAGTCATTCCAGACCTTCCACTGGTAAGAATATCTGGATCTCAAAGAATTGCTCTCAAATCCAAGAAAGCCAACTGGTCAACTCTAGGGGTGTCCTCAGTAAGGAGTCTTCTGGGTTTTCTCCTTCAGAGTACGAAGATATAAAAGCAGCGAGGATAAAACACAAAGGTGAGAGGGTAGAAATCACGTGGAATTTCTAAATTCACAATTTTAGTTCCTGCTATGCGCCACAACTCCACTAGTGATGTGGATATATACATACAAGCAGAGGTGTATGAGTGGCCTTTTAAAAGACATTGCTCAGGAGCGCACTTCAGTTCTTTCACAAATGTTCAGCCACAACTGCATTCATAATCCTTGGCATTCACTCAGCTTCCCCTTAGCAGCTAGAGAGAGCAGTACTACTTGGAAGGTGGTTATAAAATCATATAACTGATTTTTTAAAAAGCACACCAAAACTGATGTCCTACTAAACAAGGGTTCTTTTCAAAGATCATTCCTTCTGCAACTCCTTAGAGGTTACATCTCTAAGATTGCTTGTATTGCCACAAAATTTCAGAGAATTATTTTTAGAGTCAATACGTGAGCTTTCATTTAAAAATTATCTTCAAAGTTGTAAATATTTGTCAAGTGTGGGTTAATTTTTAGAAGTAGTCAAGATTAGTTTGTAATTAAATCTAACAGACCATATGGTCAACTCAAGTACTCCTATAGACCAAAGAAAATAACTGTGTTCTTAAGTCTAAAGGAAGCTCCAAATGGAAAATAAAAAGTATTTTGAGAAACAACAGGATTGTTGGAACATGTATGTGGCTTCTGTAGTTGCTAAGAAGACCACCCCAGACACAATGAATGTGAATGTGAAAACCTAATGTTCATTCCATGAAGTCAATGTTTAGACTCTCATTTTCCCACGTGCTTGAATGTTCCTTCTGATATCACCAAAGAATCCTATACCTTTAGCAACTCTTCCTTAATTTCACTTTATTCACAAAGAGTAGACTTAGAAAAAATAAAATTTAAACTATTAAACCACTGAATGAGTAGAAGAAAAATCTATGGTGTTATCCACATTAGACAGTCTCAGGGTGACAGTTACAAAACCACACATAAAAGAAAAGTGATCTTTC